GGGGCAGAGCATGTTTTGGGTTGTTTTGGGGGCTGGAAGCAATTTTCCCAAAGATAAATCATATTCAGATTCGGACTCACTTACCACACTAGGGCTATCACCTAGTGGCCATGTGCATGAAAATGAAGCTCCACGTGAACTAGAAGCGGAATCCTCCAAAACTTGTCGGATTGCCTCCAAATTCTCTTGATGTGCTTCTATAAGTTTCCATAATGTATAAACACTATCTAAAGAATCAAGCTTGTTAGAAAAAGATGAATCAAATGCATTATGTAAGAATTCTAACAAAAGCTTGTTCATGGTAAACATTTTTAGATCATTTTTACTCCACTTAGATTTCTCTAAAGTGGATACAATATAAGCACAATCTATAATTTTTCATAAATCAAAGTGTCTAGAATGAACAAAAGGTTTAAATCTAACACACCATTGAGCATAGGGGAAATTATCTAATCTAGGAGCAATATTTATGGCATAACCTAAGCTAGGTGCACCGTGCATATCCATAATGTATATATGTGCAAGCAAGACAAATATAATCAAAACTAGATTAGCACAATAAGATAACTTGGATCTTTAACTCAAGGCGATTAGACCATAAATCAAAGAGCACCAAGCTCTAATACCAATTGTTAGACCCTAATACCACTAGGAAAGAACCTTAGAGGGGGGGGGGGGAGGGGGGGGGGGGGGGGGGGGGGGGGGGGGGGGGGTTGAATAGGGTTTATGCTTATCTAATCCGATTTTATGATAATTAAAATTAATTAACAAATTATCCTAGCAAATAAGATATGCAACAATTATATGTAAGGATAATCAATATAAACAAAGGATAAAATAAACAAATGTAAACAATATAGTGGACAAACTATATAGTGAGACAATGACGATATGAGCAATGAGCACAAATATAAATGAACACCAAAGCAAACTCAAACACAATCAAATGATCACGGAGTTCGGACCTTCCGTCCTACGTCTCCGCTCCCCACTCTCGGGGAGAAATCCACTATCACAACCGGGTTTTTTACGCTCACCCAAATAATATTTACACCACACACTCGGTTTTCTAACTCACCGAAAAATTTATAATCTCACACTCTTGCAATCCCACTTACACCCTCTAAGTGTTGGTCTCTAGTCCATGTATCCCTCAAGTGTTAGGAATTACAACCTACCTCTAGGTAATTCCACCTACCCACTCCTCTTGGGATGACCCCGTCTCTCACCAAATATTCCTCTCGGTGTACAAGTGTATTACAAAGTGTATCGTCACAATTAGGCTCAATACAACAAATGTTTATTCTCTACTATGAACGAAAACACAATGAAAGCAAAGAGTATAATCAAAAAACAAATCTAAACTCAAATAAATTCTAGCTTATAAATAGCTAGATAAGAGTTTAGAAAAACTTCTCTGGATGACAAGAGAGAGAGGAAGATGAGTTGAATGCCTAAACACCAAAGGATGATCTCCCTCAAGCTCTAGTAAAATTTTCTTCATAAACTTGTAAACAAACTTTAAACACTTTTAAATAAAATTTAAATCCTTGTAAAACTTGTTTAAAAACTATCTTAGTTGTTCAAATGGTTATGACAATGAGGTATATATAGGGTGAAAGAAAACACCCAAAACCTATAAAAATCAATAAAATAAACAAAATCAGCAAGTTAATGTTACTGTGCAACGGTAATATTGACGGTCGACCGCGACTACTGTAGCGGTCGACTGCAAGAGCCAAAAATGCTCTCTGGACATTTGGCGGTCGACCGCTGAGACCAATTCGGTCGACCGTGGTACTGTAGCAAACATGCACAAACAGTTCTGTAGTTTTGGAAATATGCGTAGCTGGTTTTATAAAATCAATTAAAAATATCAAATCAACTATAAAAAATATGAAATTTTGCAGGAAGTTTCTACACATGTAGATGAACAAGTTAAATAAATAATTTATAAAATATCACTTCCTATTTATGAGAAATAATTGTTTGAACATAGATATTATCGTTTCTAAAAAACAGTTGAAAACTTATTTTTGTAAATTTAACTAAAAATAACAAAACAACTCCAAAATTAGCAAAAATTGGGGAAATTTTTGTATATATGAAGATAAACATGTAAACAAAGAAAATTTTCAAATTGAATTTTTCAATAAAAACTCATATGTTTTGCAAAAACATGCATGGACATGAACTTATTAAAACTTGATTTTAACAAAACGAGTTCAAACAAGTTTGAAACTTCTTTTAAATGGATTAATAGACTTTATAAGAAATGTTTATCAGTTATAATAAAGTCTTTAATACATAAGCAAGTGATTTTGTAAATAAACATGATTTCATTGAATTGTTAAAACTTGATATTAATGAAATCATTATAAGCGTGTATAAACATGAAACAATTGTGTATATATGCAACTTTGTTTATTTGTTTCATATTTAAACTTGAAAGCTATAAAATCAAAATGTGTATGTGTGTATATGATTAAGATTAAAGTATTGAATACACATAATATAATACCTAAACTATTTACCCAAGCTAACTTGATCTTCAATTGAGCTCGTCTTGGTAAACTTTACGGATGAAACTTGAACTTGGATATTTGACTTGAATTGTGCATAGCTTCACTCCTATATTGCGCCAACCTCCTTTTGATGTGATAATGTAGGCTCAATCCATCCAACCTCCAACTTATTATTTGTCTATAATAAAAAAACACAAACATTAGACAAACAACATTAGTTGTAAATTGTTTGTTAAAACATCATCAAAACAAAAAGGCTAACAACAATAAGCGGTGGCCCTATTGGTTTACGATAAAATAGGGGAGAGGAAAGGAAAGTTTTAAAGAAGGGAAAATTGTGTCCAGGCCCCAAAATCGTGTCCTTGAAGTGGCCCAGCCCCACCAATTATTCCCCTTGGGCTGCCACTCCAAAAAAACGTTATTCGTGTGGTCCAGCCCCTTTAGCCCTCTTTTATACGTATGCTCCACGTATTTAGGCAAAAAGACCCGAAATGCCCTCGTCTCTCACTGGGAACCGGCTACAGGCAGCCATCAATGATCGCCGATCTCTCCCATCGCAGTTAAGGCGAAGAGACGGCGGAAAGCGGGGAAAAAAAAGGCGGGTTCCCTCCATTACTGGTCCGCTTCAGCTCCTTATTAATGGGATATAAATTCGGGTAATTTTTTCTCTCATTCTCCCATTTATGAAATCAGGGTTTTTTCCCTTCATCTGTCAACAACCGTTCTGAGCTTTAAATCCCCTCCATTACTCCTCATAACTGTCTTCATAACTCTCAACCACTCCCAATGGCCGCCGATGACTTGATTTGTATGGTGTCTTTAGGCGAGAAGGCCATATTTATGAAGCTCTGCTCGACAACACGGTTTTATGAACTGAAATTTGATGTGGCTGAAAGAATGAAAGTACCTGAAGAAGCTTTATCCTTGGTATATAAATCCGAGAGGCACCCCAACTTGACTTTTTCGGTTGACAACGAAGATGACTTGAAGTGCATGTTGGAGTACAATCGAAATGTCGGTTGTACAGAGATTCACATGCTCGCTGTTGTTAATAGTGCTGTTAATAAAGAGTGTTCCAGTTCTGAAATAAACCAGAAAGTTATTGGTGGAATGTAAGTAATTAATGACTCTTTATAACATTTAGCTTTGTGTGACGTGAACATACTGATTTCAGGCTTTAAGGCAAAGCCGCATAACATTTTAAGTGTTTTTTAACTTCATCTTTTGGAATCCAATTATGCGCTTTGAATCCCTTAAATTTAACAAATTAATTATCGTCATAACTGTCAACAACCCCCAATGGTTTCCAATTGCTCGACGTGCACGGTGTTGTGTGACGTTATTGCTATATTCTTCCTATCATGAAGTGCATGTTTGATGACAATATTTTCACTTGTTGTACGGAGATTCAGATTCAGATGCAAGTTTTTGATAACATAGAGTGTCCTACTTCTTAAAGGAAGTACAAAGTTATTACTGATTTATACGTAAACAATGAACTTTGGCTCAAATTGGGATTGTGTGATGTAAAAATTGTGATTTCAGGTTTCGATGCGCAGTAGAAAAACATAGTTGTCATCTTCGAAATTTATACGTTAACTCTTCATCTTTCATGTTATGTTTTGACGATATATGTTAATCTTCAATTGAACATGTTAACTTTCATGTGAGCATGTTAACTTTCAGCGTAACGAGTTAACTATGTAAATTGTCTGTTAAATTCCACTGCTCTTTAATTAATTCATACGAAAATGGTTTGTTTTAAACATTATAAGATAGTTTTATACTCTAGTGTAAAGTTTATATCACTGGCTGATTAATTTTTGCAGCAGTGATGCCTCTTTGAATGAAGAATATTGTCATCCCCCTTCTGGCGGAAATGCTTCCAATTCAGAGAGAATCCCAAATGATTGCCCGTCTGGTGAGATTGTAATGAGAGCTGATGATATTATCAGTAAAACTTACAGCATTCCAGACTGTTGGCACACAACATTAACTAAAAAGGGCCAACAATTTAAAACTGTTAATGATTTAAGACTAGCGTTGCAATACTATTCCATGGCGAAAAAGTTTGACTACGACTTTGTAAAGAATGAACCTAAACGTATCCGAGTTATTTGTCGATATAAGGAGACGTATGGATGCCCTTGGATGCTGTTTGTATCCCCTATAAAAAATAAAAAAAGAATTGAAATCAAAAGGTTTGTGAATGAACATAGTTACGGACAACATACTAACTTGTCAGGGCAATCACGGGCATCTCGTAGATTCGTAGCAGAACAATTGCGACCTGTCTTAAAGGTTCGACCTGAAATCCGCCCAAAGGATGTGCAAAAGGAGTTCCTCACTCGATATGGATTGAGACTTGAATACAGTAAGATATGGTGGGGCAAAGAAAGAGCGCAGGAGGCTATGTACGGTGATAGTTATGAGTCTTACGATCAATTAAGATGGTAAATTTTATAGTTATCAGTTTAAATGTATAAATTTATCGTGCAATATATTTCCTTAGATGTTTCCATATTTATTTTCATAAATTTATATTTCAGCTGTCACAGTGGACTATTATGTTTCATGGAAAATTGTCAGCTCTTACATGTTAATATACATTACCCTTATGTTCCAATGTATTACATTTACGTGTAATGTGGTCACACTGTTGTACACGTATGAGAAAAAGGTGAAGGAAACAAATCCAGGAAGCTACATTTGCATTGACCAGAATGAAGGAAGGTTCAAAAGACTGTTTATATGTTATGCTGCTTGCATCGTTGGTTTCTTAAATGGGTGTAGACCTCTATTATTTTTGGATGGGACCTTCTTGAAAGATAGATACAAAGGCCTGCTCCTGAGCGCTGTAGCATATGATGGAGACCAAGGGATATTTCCACTTGCGTATTGCATATGTGATCAGGAAAACGTTGATAATTGGAGATGGTTCCTGCAAGGCTTGTGGTCTATACTGTACGAAAGGCCAGACCCATATAATCCTCCCCATCAACTGGTTATTATTTCTGATGCCGACAAGGGAATCCAAGAAGCGGTAAGAGAATATTTTACTGAAGCAATTCACTCAAGATGTGTTCTGCACTTGGTTGAAAATTTTAGATCTAAGTTAAAGGATTTGGGATTGAAGGCAAAGGACACACATGTTTTGGGGAATTTGCTCCAATCAGCTTGCTATAAATACACTGTTGCGGAATAGAACGACTACATGAAGGATATATATGAGATGTCTCCAGCTGCATATGAGATTGTAATTAACTACTCGCCAGAGCATTGGGCGAATGCCTTCTTCCCTGGCATTAGGTACTGCCCTCAATCATTTCTAGTGAATATCCCCTTTTGCAGGTTAACTATCGGTGATATATGTTATCGTTTATCACTATATGTTAACTTTCATGTTATTATGTTAACTTTTCCTACTAAAGGGAAAGTTTGGTGGTTACGTGCTAATCTTATTACATATTGGATGTTGAATGGGACTTTGTTTTATTTTGATGTTTGCAGATATGGTCATGTAACCTCTAACGTTGCAGAATCCTTTAACAGCTGGATACGTGAAGCTCGAATGCTGCGTATCCTGCAAATGGTGGAGCATATCCGCAAGCAAATTATGACTCGCATGAACAACAGACGCATAATGGCTGAAAAGTGGACAAGCTATCTTTGTCCTAAAGCTGAGCAGATTGTTGGAGAACATATGGAAAGAGGATCTACGTTAGAGATTAAGCAATCTAGAGATGATATATTCGAAGTGCAATCACAGAGAACCACTCACGTTGACTTGGGGAAGAGGACATGCACTTGCCGTGCTTGGGACTTAACTCGTATTCCTTGTGTGTATGCTTGTGCAGTCATCATTTATATGAAAAGAGAGGTATATCAGTATTATGACTGGTTCATGTCCGTAGAGGCGTTTAAGAAGAGCTACGATGAAATATTATATCCCATACCAGATTATGAGATGCGTAGTGTGCCCAAGGATGAAATCCAGATTTTGCCACCAATTACCATGAAGTGGAGGGGAAGAAATAGAACAAGACGCATAAACAACATAACCATTATGAAACGTCCTGTCAAATGTGGTCGATGCAAGAGGGAAGGGCACAACCGAGCAACTTGTAACGAGCCCATCCATGATTAGTGTGCCATGCTTACAAAGAGGAAGAATGGCGCTAGTGAAATATAAGTTGTCTTTAAGTTTCCATTATACTAATGGGAGATTTTTGTGCTCTGCTTCCAGACAGCAGGAGGTTTTGAATTTTGTACTTAAACATGTTAACATATAACTATCTCTATACTACTACTACTTTTAACTGAATTTGTTATCATAAAGGCCCACTGTTTGAGGTTAAATTGCTGTCAGCTCTCAAATCTACGTGACTGTTCAACGGCTAGTTGGTTTACTGTTCCAACAGACATATTCCAACGGCTAGCTACTTGTTCCATTTGCTTTATATAATGTTATGCAAGGCTCAAGTAAAACCATATCTCTTGTTCCCTCCCTCCCTTTATAGCTCATTTAGAGACTAAGATGAAGACCGAGGATGGCTCTCAATCAGTAGAAGAGCCATGTTGTTTCTGCAAGCTTCCAACCCCCCTCAAGCAGTGCAAAAATGGGAGCAACAAAGGCAGATACTTCTGGGGATGTGCAAAGTTCCCAAATAGGCAATGCAAGTTTTTTGCTTGGGCTCACAATGTCAATGCAATGAAGGAGAACGTGGCTGTTCACCAAGAAGCACCCGCTGAAGATGAGATAGCAGCCAAGGTAAAATATTTGAAGAAAGCATTGAAGCAGTCTAAGCGTGAAGTTGAAAAATGGAAAACCTGTTCCTGCTTTCTATGTTGTTTTTGTGTTGTTCTAATTTGCTTAAACATTGTGATATACAAGCTGAAAATGAACTGATATATGTGCAGTTCATAGCGGAACACTGCATCGTTTTATTAGTTTACTGGCTATTGATTTGTAAAATTTTCCTTGAATTGGTTAGCTTTTAGAGCTGTTTGATCTAATCCAAAGTGGGTAGCTGAGCGGTTGACATGTTAAATTTTGCACAATTTGGTTTAGAGCGACAGGTTTAACTTTCAGTGTAACTGGTTAACTATTTCTGGCGCTGGTTAACTTCCAGCGAAGCTGGTTAACGTTTACTGAATCTGGTTAACTTTTTCTGAAATTGGTTAACTTTCGCCTACACTGGTTAACTTTTGTTGTAACTGGTTAACTTTAGCTGAAAGTGGTTAACTTTTGTCCAATCTTGTTAACCTCCTCCATAAACTGACTAGCTTACAGCAAAATTAAAGAGTGCATGTCAAGCAGGTAGTATCAGACATATCCATAACAATCCGTTTCAATTACATCATAATGTTAGAATCGTCTTTCACCCACCATGTGCTTCAATCTCCGCTTGATGTCTCTGTTCCCATCCTTCCTCAAGAAGTTTGGCTGCAAGCCTGGCACGCAAGACGGCCGAATTGTCTCCGGGATTACTTACCTGAATCGCATCATTCCCATTGATTATAGCCTTCATGTATAAGGGAATGAAAAGCCCACAATCAAAACTGCAACGCGGAGATGCAATAACAGTTCTGTTAGATATGTGTTGTGGGATGCAATAGAATTAAATTCAAGTATGTTAATTACTAACATTCCAGATTGTTGCTCGCAAGAGACGCCCTCATATCTAAACTTCCTCCAAACATTGTCTGGATCAAAACCAGCCTTCATATGGTCCATGAAGCCAATTACTTTATTCACCGGTTCAATATATGCATCGTGGGTAGCTGAGCTGTAATGCTTGACAACGTCCTCATCCAACCTGACTTCAGCAAGATGCCAATGGTCCTGACGCACAAGCGGGATAAGGAGTACACTCTTCCTCGCAGCAATATGCTTTTGTATAAATGAAGTATATATGTGTGGGAAATCAGGAGTGTTTGCATAAAGGCTGTGCTGTATAATCCAAGTATAATGGAATGTTATGACGGGAGTAAAAACGTGTTAAAGAATCATAGTATCGTAAAGTAGATAGCTTACGCAGAAGAAGACTGATACAATCCCATACTTATGGCTCAAGGGAACCATTTCTGGCCTATCCAGCCATGAGCTTATTCTATCGATCAAAGCTTTCGTCACCTGAAAATGGAACATACATGAGACACACATTAGATTGCATAACAACCCTGTCAAATTATGAGGAAAAATTGCATAAATGAAGCAATTAAACTTGCATGGTCGTCAATACGCCCCCCTCGTAGTAGGTTGAGAAGCTCCATAGAATCAATACTACTGTTTGACGTATTTAAAACAATACATGACCTGATATATGACAGAAAGATACAAAGATTAACATAAATGGTAAAACGTTAGCCTGGTTCTGGAAAATTTAACATATAACAATGAACAATAACATGTTATAGCATAAGTTAACATCAATGAGCATAAGTTAACATGTTTCTTTTAACATGAACATGCATATAGAAACCAGAGTTCGCATGGATTGAACTTACTGATGAGCTTTCTGATTGCAAAACTCTGAGACCCATCTGTTCTCCTCTAGAGTGAGCTTTGCCGCTACATGATGGGGTATTCTAAAGTTGTGAACAAAGGTTCCTTCGCTATCAACCAGGCGTATGCTAAAATCATCAACAAAAGGAATCCCCTCGTTCAGCAACTTCAACAGAGCCTCCTCCTTCTTCTTGATTTTTTTGGTTTTTTGAAAATCCCACGTGCATTAACTAGGCTTGCAGTAGTACCTGATTTGTTCCCTAACATCCTCCTTGTGATGCGAAATTGTAAGTAATTCTGGTTGGGCTATCTTCTTCTTTTCCTCGGTGAAAAGGGTTCGGATTAGCTGAGAACGAGTCCTGATTCTGGTACTTGGTCCCCTTGTTCCCTTCGAAACAACTTTCTTTGACCACTTTCGATAAACTTGTAATGAGTTCTTCTCCCACATACCCATCTCCGACACTTTCTCCGCACTGCCCTTCTCTTCTTCCTCTCTATACTCTTGCTCTCTATCTCCCTCACTCAGCGCTTGCTCTCTATCTTCCTCTTTCTCGTTCTCTTTATCTTCATCTTTCTCCTCATGCTCTCTGTCTTCCATCTCTTCCTCTTTATATTCCCCTCCGGTCTCTTCATCCTCGTCTTGGCCAACACTGTCTACCTCCTGCTCAGCTTATGCTACACCCTCCGCAATATGCGAGGCTTCCTTACCAATAATGCACACATCGTCATAATCGAAACAATCGACATTGTCACCCTTGCCAATGCTGTCAACACTTCTTTTCCTCTTCACATGTGCAGCCCTTGTATGCCTGTCACTCTTGGACATAATCTCCTCCACACTTTTCTTCAGGTCCTGGGGATCAATCAGGTCAGCAGTTCCTTCGTAAAACTCCAATTTCCGGTTCAGCCTATGTATCTCCTTAGAACAAGCATCGCATTGAAGGTGCTTACTCCGCTTTGTGGCATGGAGCAATTTCTAGTTTAATTTGGCCGTATTCCTCCAAAACTGAATTTGCTGATCACGGCTCAACTTCTCTATTTCATCTTCTTTGTCAAGCGCGTTCTTGATATGATGGGAGACAATCTGAAAAAATAACCAGTAAGTTACAAAATTCAACCATCATAAATATGCTAGCAAATCAGTAAAAGATGATTGACGCTTACGTATCCTACGGATGAGCTATTTTGTCTGCCCTTCACCCTCGCTTTCTTCTCATCCTTTACGTTTTCTTCCTTCTCCTTCACTCTCGGCAATGAAACCACCATAGCTTTACTCTTATCTGATACAACAGGGATCCTTCTCTTCCCAAGGCGAGCGCTACTAATATTCTTCCAAGAGGGCTCCCTTTGAGGGTATTTCCTCCCCGCTGGAAAATTAGTTGAATCAGGTTTATCCTTAATCTTAATGGTTGCTTTTTCTGCCTTGGAGACAATTATCTCCCTCCTCATCGATCCAGCCGTCCCTCCGACCCTTACCCAGTTGGTCAACGGCGGCTTCCATCTGATGTTTAGGGCAGGTTTTCTAATGCCTGTCATCTCGTAGAACCATAGCTGCCAAAATAGAGGCAACAATTATTTATCATTAATTCCCTGCTCATCAAAACTCCTTATGCAACTTTATTTCTTCGTAGCTAACTTTCACTATAATAAGTTAACTTTTATCAGTACTGGTTATATTTCACTTAAACATGTTAACTTTAAGGTCTCCATGTTAACTTTTAACTTAACATGTTAATTTTCACCAACACTGGTTAACATTCAAAATTGCATAAGTTACATTATCTAATATCGGTGGTTAACATTCAAAATTGCATAAGTTACATTATCTAATATCGGTAGCCAAAACTCTTTAAATATAAAAAAAATGTTAAACCACATATGAACATGCAACTTACAGGGATGAGCGGCATGCATCCAGGGACGTACGTAACCCCTGGCTTCCTCAACCCTTCAACGGCAATGTGAATGCCTCTCTTCGTCTCATCAAAAATAAATTTACCCCACGCAATGTTCTTCACTCTCTCAATGCTATCTACATATTGAAACAACAATCTTGGAATGCCTTGCGAGCTGTTCGGACACCAAATCATTGAACACTGGTACAATATTTGAAGAAGAACAAAATCCTCAACGTCCTTATCGTCACTTGACTCAACAAGTGTTTCCAGTAACTCTTCAACATATTTCCTCATGCTACCAGGTTCTTCTGTAGCCCTGGCCTTTGCCTTCTCCATGTCCTTCAACATTTCTTTCTTATCTTCTGTAGCCCTGGCCTTTGCTTTCTCCATGTCCTTCAACATTTCTTTCTTATCTTCAAAGTACTCCCTCCAAAGCCGGTTGTGAGGGTCTCTATTCCCATAGATCAACTCCCCATCAATAGGAAAGCCCGTGTGAGTTTGTACCCACTCTTCATCAAATTTGACTGAAATTAGAGACCCTATTCGGGGATCGGGAAAAGAGAATTCATCAGTTTCGGCATCATAGTGACTGAGCACATGCTCCAGTGCACGTCGATCTCGTGCAGGAGGTCCGAAGAACACATAGTGTTCAAAGTTAGTGCCCTTTAAGGCATCTCAATGTCAATTCTTCATTTTTGAATGAAGTTTATGCATGAATATACAATACGATCCAAAACGTGC